AGAGAGAGAATGAGAGATAGAGAGCACGAGAAGGAAGAGGGTCAGAGGGAGAAGCAGACTCCCCGCCAAGCAGGGAGACCAATGTGGGACTTGATCCCGGGACTCCAGGATCATGACGTGAGCCGAAGGCAGTCGCTTAACCAACTGAGCCACCCAGGCGCCCTGCATGTGTAGAAGAATTGAAGGACATTTACAGAGCACATGCCTGTTAATATCACTGAAAGTGAATTTACTGAAAGGAAATGCTGAATAGATAAAAATTAGCAGTCAGGTGAGGAGTTAGGTTTAAAAGGAGAGAAAGCTACAGGCATTTCAGGTAGAGAGCCTAGCATAAACCTAAGTGAAAACAAGTAGTAACTTAGTGATACAGGGTCCTTGGAGGACAATGAAGAAGAAGTTGGTTGAAAATTATAGCTGGTCAGATATTAAGCCAAAGCACTTAATGTGGTAAGAAACCAGATGAAAGTGAATTGGGAGAGTAGGACATTGTAGAAGGATGGTGAAATCAGAATGGGCTTAAGAATTGCATAGACCCAGGGTGTCTGGGTGTCTCAGTTGGCTAAGTGCCTGCCTTCGGCTCTGGTCATAATCCCAGGGTCCTGGGATTGAGCCCTGCATGGGGCTCCTTGCTCAGTGGGGAGTCTGCTTCTCCCTCTCCCTCTGCCTGCCACTCCCCCTGCTTGTGCGCTCTCTCTCTCTCTCTCTCTCTCTTCAAATAAATAAAATCTTAAAAAAATGATGTAGACCCATGATAAAAAGATGGTAGTGACTATGATAGTGAACTTGCAGATACAAAGTCATGGGCTCATTAAAAACTATTAGGAAGAGCAAACAAAATGTGAATGTTGGTTGGGGAGAGCAAAGAAATCAAATTACTTAGATGTTGTCAGCCTTTGGATCTAGGAATATAGTGCTTTAATTAACATGGAAAAAAATTTATTATGGTAGATGAAAAGTTTTATTTAGTGTTGACATTCTACATTAAAGATATTTTGGGGTACCTAGAACAGAGATAATAAGACAGTCGGTGACCAGAGCTTGAAAGATCTGACATTTCAGTCAGGATTGCCCAAGTAGGCTCACCTACAGGCTGGTTTTCACTGAGCTTAATTAAGGTAGAGTGTCCACCTTACTCTCTGAGTCCCCTCTGTAAGTGAAGTTAGAGAAAATAATAATCAAAAGGATTTTTTCAGGAAATGATATGGGAGAGTGGAAGAGATATCTCAGTAGTTTACTACTCACTCTGGATAGTTAAATGGTTAAATAATAAGTAAAGGAGGCATCAGAATCAAGGAGGCATCAATAAGAGAATCTAGATTTCAGGTTTATTTTAAAATTGAAGTAGATTACTGTGCTTACATGTCCATGACAGTAATAGATCTAAAGCAACCGACCTTATTCTTACTTTCCTCTGATCTCTCTCCTGATGTTTTCAGGATTACGGAATTTATGAAACATGATTGTGTAATCATTCAATTTGAAATACCCAGTTGGAGGAAGAGGGAAAAATAAACCTTGGTGGCATCCCTTCATTCATACCCCTTTTCTGTCTGTCATTTCTATTAAAAACACTCACATATTCAGAACTCACTCTTAAATTGTTTACCACCATCATTCCAACACTGATTGTATTTCTTTTTTACTTGTGATAGCAGGCTAATATTGTGTTGTTATCAAAGATTCAGGCATTATCAAAAAGATTTTGCACTCCATTTATTTGCCTTGGATATTTGCATCCTATTTCTAAATGTTCTCAGAAGGGAGAAGGGGACAGAGGAGGTGGTCTTACTATTTCTTAAAGCTCAAATGACACAGTAGAGTACTTTTAGGGACATCTTGATTCTATTAGAATTTTCAGGTCAAAGGGCAGGTTCAACTGTTATGTAGTTTAAAGCACCAGGGATGGATTGACAAGACCTCTTTAATGACTTAAAGTTGGATTTCTGCTACTACCTACTCATTATGCAAGTAATATGGCATGTTAGTCAAGCAGTAGGGGGCCACTAATCACTTTGAAAGGTTCTGTGTATACATTTTCTTTTTCTTTTTTTTAACTGAGGAAAAGACATTAACAGAACAAGGAGAGTAATTTAGCAGGACGAGCATTGCAGTTCTTATTTTGCTCTGGGCTTGTGGCATACATATATTACCTTTCACATTATACGTGCTTGTATCACTCCCTAGGGGCTCATGGGAAATGAAGTCAGAATGTGCTTCACTAGCAAGTCTTCCTTTTCTGTAGATAGACTTTAGTTAGTAAAGCTCTTGAAGTCAATTATTAATCCACATCAAGGTTCATTTTCTTTAAAATAGCCATGTTAGACTTAGAATAGGTGACTTCCACATCTCAAGCAATTGATTCTGATTTAAAAGGAACTATTTCTGGTATTTTTATCTTCTTCTTTTTAATTTTCTGGATCTTCCAGTTTTTATTCCAGGAATGCATATTACTTTTGTCAGAAAATACCTTTCTTTTTTCAAAGAACCAATTATATTAAGAGTTAAGTGGCTACAAAAATAAGATTCTTTTTGTAATTTGCTTTTTTTTTTCCCACTCTGAATTCCATTCCCTCTGAAAAGCAGGATGTTCTTTAAAATTTTCTAGTTTCAACACTTTTGAGTGCTCTCTGTAAAACTTAACCACATAAGTTCAACCATACCATACGGTCTTTTCTATCAAATGTATTGAGGGAACAGCAGTTTTTCTTATTCCCAAAAATTAGATGGCTGTTACTATTTATTAGCTTTAATATTCTTGCCTATCTTCCAAATTTTTAAGAGATTGCTCTCCCCTGTAGTTGTCTATTTCAAATTTACCAAAATTGTAGACAAGAGAACAATATTCTCTTTCCAAAAACAAAAGAAAAACATAAAAGCTAATATATCCATAAAAAATACTGACATTACCCAAAGTTTATATGCTTATATTGCGGTATGTAATCAACACATTTTATTCTCCTAACTATCAATTGACCTTTTTAGGCACATACACATGTAGAAATCACTATTAGGAGTATACTTTTAAAATGGAAAAGACAGTGGTATGTTAAGCTTTTAGGGAATTTTTGGTTGAGAGCAATGGGTATGGGAGAGAAAGTTTGATTCTGTGCAATTTGTAGTATATTATCAATGCTCAATAAAAAAAATGACAATAAAATTTCTATTTGGATTTTATATAAAAAGAACAAAAGACTTAAATTATGTATCTTAGTAAAAAAGGCATTATTCCAGTGGCTCAGAGTCTAGTACTACATCCTTTATTTTAAAATTTAGAATCTGAATTGTCACCTGTTATATCATATTGCAGTTTGGGAATGTGACATTTTACCCCAGAGATTAACTGTACCACCCACCCTAGCTGGTCAAGCATATCATTTATAAAAGAATTTGGAATTCAGTCAAGATGCTTCACCAACATAGAATAATTTTTACTATTTCCCATTACGATGCTTTTCTTAAGCACAGAATGGAACTCAGATCCCATCACCTTTGTATATTCCATTTTGCAAGGGTGCGCTTTACTTCATCTGATTGGATAGAGTAATTTATCTTTCATCTTCTGTTATTTGCCAGCTGCTAAATGTGTACTTCTGACTATTGGTGCACAGAAATACTGCAGCACCCTTATTGAGAAAACACATTTCTCATTACAGCTTTGTCAGTCTTTGAGCTTCCCCAAAGGGAACAGATGACAGCAATGAGCAGGAAATTGTGCATAGTGAGACCAACTTGAACTCCTTCACCTTTAAGCTTATTTCACCACTTAACATATTTTTTTCAAGTGGTCAGTGGATATATTTAGACTATTGTTATCCCTTTGCTGTTGACTAAAGCTTCATGGGATAAGCCGTCTGCTGTTTTTTAGAATTATATAGAGTGTGGGGACAGTGGAAAATTACACTGGGGTCAATGAGAATCTTTTTCCCTTCCAACAACAAAGACTGGTTAAACAAATCTTCATTTCCATGATGTAAGCTGATCTATCTCCTCCATTTGTTAGTACTGCTTGTTCAGAGTTCTCCAGACCTACCCAACCAGAAAACAGAAAATCCTTGTCAGAATATGCAAAAGATAGTCTTCCAGTTTGTGGCTAAACTAAAACTCTTCCAGATGACTACTATTGAAGCATAATTATCTTAACAAAAGACAGAAGCAAGGTTAAACTTGGGCACTTCATTCTCAGATTCAGCATTTCCTCAGGTCAAAAGCTCAGGCCACTTAAATAGTTCCTGTAAATCAAATCTGCATTCTTACAAATGATTTAAATAATAGATGAGCTATTGAGGAATGCATTTTTGCCAAGGAGAATAATTGTTCACCAACTTCGTTCAGATTATTTTGTAAATTTCTCATGTTCACCCCTCTTCTAAATCCCACCTTCTTTTCCTTCTGGATGTGAACCAAAAAGTAGTTAGCTAAACCACAAGGAATCTGTAAGGTTCAAGTTATTGTTTCAAAGTGCACAAATCATTGCCAAATAAAGCCACGACTGGAAACTTATTTGCATTGATGAGAGAAAGAGAATTGTAGATGTTTAGAATGTCCCAAGAACAGATGGCTGATTTTCTAAATCCTGTTTCCTAATGTTTACAATTTGTTACACACTCTATACATAAGAATGTTTTCAGTTTCAGTAATGCCTCAATTTGTCTGGCAGGTACAGAATGCTTATCAAAAGAATGAATTAAATGGGTAAAATGTATGGGTGAGAGTTTTATTCTTAGTTTTAAAAAGTTATTAATTTTATTTACTTTTTAAGTCTAACTATAAATAGGAACTCTTTATTAAGATGTCAGTATAACACATGATAAAGACATTTAGAGTGGAGAAACCTGAGTGGGATTCCTAGCTGCACCATTTACTTCAAATGTGAGCTTGGGCAAGCTATATAAACTCTCTGAGCCTTGGTTTCATCACCCATAAAATGGGGGTGATAATAGTAACTTCAAAGGATTGTTTTGAGGTTAAATGAAAGTCCTGGAATTTTCTTTATTTTGTAGGCAAGAAGCTCTTCTGGCTGCCATTAGTGAAAAAGATGCCAACATAGCTCTTTTGGAGCTTTCATCCTCTAAGAAAAAGACCCAAGAGGAAGTGGCTGCACTGAAGCGGGAGAAGGATCGTCTGGTGCAGCAGCTCAAGCAGCAGGTATAATGAAATGCCAGGGAAGGCCCATGGTGGAGGGGCAGTAAGACCAGCTCTCACGCCATTCTCTACCTTTGTCTTTGCCAGCTTATATTTTAAGGTCTCGCGTCTCATATTAGACGTCTGATCTTTTTATCTAGCTAGGTTGTTTGTTTGTTTTTTTCCCCCAGAGGGAGAGAGGGGAGGGAAGGGACAGACAGAATCCTAAGCAGGCTCCACGCCCAGCACAGAGGTCTTTGCAGGGCGCAGTCTCACAACCCTGCAATCACGACCTGAGCCAAAAATCAAGAGTTCCGTTGCTTAACCAACTGAGGCACCCAGGCGCGCCTCTAGTTAGTTTTCATAAGCAGGGACTTTAATCTTCTTCACAAATCTTCTGGCTCTACCTAGGAATTAGAGAGTGCTCTTGGTAAGAGCACTGGTTTAGAAGATGTTACAAGACTTCTATGAGAGGGTTTTTTTAACATAGCTGGATGAAATTAGCAAAGTTCTGCCCGCTTAAAATGAAAAAGGCTTATTTTTTACATCCAACCAAAGTCCTACTATAGAAGGCACTAAGTATGTTTTTACTTAAACAATTTCTAGCTACTCAGAGCTGAGTAAGCTTTGAAGGTAAGAGCAAAGTTTTGCCCTTTTCTTTTCCGACCTAATCCCTCCCCAAATTTAATGCTTCATATTTATGTAAGACCTGTGAAAATAAAAGCTAAACATTTCCCCTTTGTTAATGGTTGGACAACGGTCCAACCATTAATGGACACTTAAAAATGGTTAAAAGGATAAATTTTATGTTATATATATCTTATGATAATTTTAAAACTTGGGGGAAAAAAATCTTTGAGAATGAAGAGAAAGCCGAATTTTAAAATCTAAATCCCCTTTTTTATCTTAATGCTCTTCGCTGGCCACTCTTGCCGTGTCCGCAAGTCCTGTCTTCCGGTACCATCTGCATTCTCAGTAACATTTTCTGTGCATTGTGTCTGCCTGGACTTGCTCTTCTACCTGAAGTAGTAAGACTGGGAAAGAGTTTTTCAAGTGAAGGAATTTCTTCTTTTCTGCTCTGGGGGATCAGTCATCAATTGATAGCATTTTTAACATAATATTTAATGTTCCAATTAACAAGAATCAGTATTTAAACAATAAAGATATTTCTGTTTGTAGACCAATATTAAAACTGCTTAGAAATAGATTTTATGTTTTATGTGGCCAACCACATAAATACCAAAAGATCTCCCTTTTCTATAGGATAGGTCGATGACCAGCAAAAAAATAATTCTTTGCCCATTTATAAGCAGAAGAATCTTTTCCAGTGTCCTAAAATATTTTGCCACAGGAAGAAGACATCATCTAGTATTTGGATACCTATTAAGTAAAACAGGAAGAATGTGCTTAATATTAAAGACATCTGTCCAGTAGTTCAAAACTGAAATTTGGCTTATCGAAGCTGATAATATGAGTTGAATAGTGATTGCAGTGGCCTAGGAAGGTGGGGAAGATGGGGAGGTGTTGGTCAAAGAGTACAAAGTTTCAGTTATGCAAGATGAATAAGTTCTGGGGATCTAATACACATCATGGTGACTATAGTTAATAATATCCTATTGTATATTTGAAATTTGCGAAGAGTAGATTTTAAGTGTTCTTTAAAAAGGTAACTGTGAAGTAATAGAAATGTCAATTAGCTTTATTGTGGTAGTGATTTCATGATGTATACAAGTATTAAAACATCACATTGTATACCTTAAATAAATACAGTTTATATTTGTCTGTTGTATAACTGCTGTGGGGGGGTGCTGATATATGAAAAAGGAGGATGTTGTTGAAGAAAGGCGTTCACTAGTTTGTGAGTGTGTATATTTAGCAATATCGGTTCTCCTAAGTAGTTAGGCCTAAATATATAGACATAAGATTTAAGTGGTTCCTGGTCCCTCTACTTTCAGACACCAAACAGAATAAAATGTCTAGCAGACTAGAGTACTGTATTTCATTCATAGTGGCTTTTGATTACTTCATTCTCAAGGCTATATGTTTTCAGTAGGTGAAAGTTAAGGATATTCATTAATCTATGAACTCATAATCTTAAAAAAGAGCAGCTTAATGTCTTTCCATCTCACTATATGCCCTGAATATTCTGTAGTGATGTGATATATGTAAAGAGAAAGATAAATGTAGTTCTTGGGAGTCCTTCCAACAGTGTTTTTTGTCTGCTTTCCATGTAAAGTTTCACATTCCTGCCCTCTCGGAGTGTCTAGGATGCTGTGAGCAAGAAGGAACTGGTCTTGCCAAAGATATTTGATTCTTTAATTTTTTCTAAGTGTGTGTACTGACTTTTAGACAAGGGAGAGGCCTTTTGGAAAGAGGATATGGCATCAATATTGTTTTAATTTAAAGCTTCTAGTCCTTGAATTGCTGGAATGTGCCTCAATCCAAAGGCCATTTCCTACCAAGGAGGCAGTCAGCGTTGACCAGGCTTTCCAGTAAGCAGAGCTGCCACTGCCTGATGGGCTCTTGGCATTCGTGTGCAGTTCCTAGTGTTCGAAAGAGGTGAAGCAACAAGGGGTTTACAGATTTGGGGGTCACCCGCTTAAATGGGCCCAATTTGCATACCCACCCCAGGGTACCTTGTCTCCTTGACTCATTCATGGCAAAGCAGCACTTGGAGAGGCTGCATCAGAGGAAGGGGCCAGAGCCAATGAAAAAACTAAAAAATAAAGGTTGTCTAACAAACTCCAGATGTGCTGTGGTGGGTGCCAACCAGTGTGTTCGGATTATAAGTCATGAAGAAGCCCCCGCTGTGATTGTCAAGCACCCACGCTGGATTTAATGTAAACTCACATGGAACCCTGGAAAGCTTGAACACAGTCCGTTTAGCCACAGCAGCTGTCACAAGATGGCCTTTCTCTCAGCATTATTTTCTTCTTTTCGCCGCTGGAATTTTACAACCTACATATTGTATTTGCTGTTAGTGTAAAGTCTGGCTCTGCCCCTGTGTGCTCTATACAGAATGTGTCATGGGCAGATTGGGCTTTTCAAAACAAGCTGCATGGTTTGGTTTGGTTTGGTTTGGTTTTTTTCCTGTTTTTTAAAGGTCAACTATAACATTAGAAGAGGAAAGGCTACAAACTTAAACTGATTTGGTTCGAATCTAGACAATCTCATTTACAGCTATGATTATAGAATCCTCTGCATTAGGATGAAATGTCAGACAATATATTCCTTTGTTCCAGCATAGTCTAGGCGTGAGGGATAGAAAGAGACAGTACTTGCCTTAAAAAAGAAGCTCACAGTATAGTGCTTAAAATACTAGTTGTTCAAAACATTTGGCAAAACCATTCTGTAGAAGGGAGCCTTACCATCTTTTCCTGCTGACAGCCTCAGCAAATCATCCCTGCATTACATGATTTATTTGCCCATTCATTTCAGATTCTTTGAGTATCTACTGTGTCAAATATTGTATTCGTGGAAAATAAATGTCTCTCTTCCTAGTTAACAGCCTGGCAGCTAATCAGACCTAGATTGTACCTCTAGCTGTCTCTTTTACCAGTTTGACACATTATTTCTCTGAGATTCATGGGCCTCATCTATAACATTTGGATAATGTTACCTACCTCACAGGGTTGGTGTGCACACCCATAGCACTTAAGCTCCCACTTCTGTTCCCTCTCAGAGATCTCTGTTTCAAAGTGAGCACTGTGCTATGGGTATTACAGGCTACATTGAGAAAAGGGGGGACTTCAACAGCTTTGGTTCTCATTCAATCATCTATAATAACTATTGAATTTTCAATAGGAGTATAGTATTTTTCTTAAGATTTTATTTTTAAGTGATCTGTACACCCAGGGTGGGGCTTGAACTTACAGCCCTGAGATCAAGAGTCACATGCTACCGATTGAGCCAGTCGGGCGGCCCTCAATATGACTGTAGTATTTAGAATTCTACAACTAGCACATTGTGTTCTACTCCTGTGAGGAAGAACATATTTCTCAGAGCAGTTATCAGAATAAGTGGTACACTTTATCCTTCCTTTTTTCTACCTGTTTTTTTTTAATGATACAACTATAAGATAGCTGTTTTCAAAAATAATTTTAATATGTTTTTCTTAAGTCTTACATTGTCATCATCAAAGAGAATTATTAAAATGCCCACCTGCCTGAAATTGTCAGCACTAGGAACATTATAACTCCAAGCATGCGTTCTGTCTCACTCATTCTCTAGTTCTGTGACTTTCCACTTGCATACATGCCTCTTCTATCCCTGACTCATACGACTTTGCAGAAATATGTGAAAATAGAATAACTACAAAAATGGCTACCACTTATGAGTTGACTATAATATGCTGGGCAGAGTTGCTTTGTATACATCATATCTAATCCTCACCACAGTTCTGGACATATATGTCTTTATTATGTGGATGAACCACCTGAGACCCCAAAACATTAAATTTCTTGGGTAAACTTCCACAAGGACTAAGTGGTGGGACGAGAGAACTGGTTCTCTTCTTACTCCTACCATCTTATGTGGCAATTCCAGACAGTTGGTAATTAGAAAAGTTGTAGTGGAATTAGAATAATACAAACAGTGCAGGGGCACCTGGGTGGCCCAGTCGGTTAAGCATCTGCCTTAGGCTCAGGTCATGATTCCAGGGTCCTCGGGATCAAGCCCCGAGTCAGGCTCCCTGTTCTACAGGGAGCCTGCTTCTCCCTCTGCCTCTGCCACTCCCTCTGCTTGTACTCCCTTGCACTCTGTCTGTCAAATAAATAAAATCTTTTTTTTAATTAAAAAAATAATACAAACAATGCTATTTCAAGTCTTTATGGCACTCATTTGTTCCCCGGAGAGATAGGAAAGGGTATTTATTTATATTCCAAACCCTCCCCTCTCTGCCTCCGAAGAACTTGAAACAAAAAGGAAATAGTGGATTTGTCCCTGTTCTTCAAATTACTGAAAGGAGTGATATGAACTTGAAGCTACAGAATTACAGTGAAGTATAATTTAGCTTCTTTTATATC